GGTAAGATCTTTTTTGGGGATTTTGACTAAGAGGCTTCCTGGTTGTCTTGAGCATACCAGTGTAATCTCTAAAATAATTGTAGATTCAGAGAGGAACCATGGTGACCTGGTGGTTTTGTGGCTTGACCTGACCTACGCCTATGGAATAATACAATACCCCATATGTTAGTGGAACTAATACAGTCACCCTGTCTCAGCCAGTCATCCTGTTCTCAGCAGCAATGAACCTCCTTGTCAAGACAGCAGAGAGTTTACATCAGGAGGCAGTATTGGCAAATGGCACCCAACAGGTGACCATCAGATAATTCATGGATGACTTGACCATTACGGCAAGATCAGTACCTGAAGCAAGATGGATGCTGGAGAATTTGGTTGAGCTCACCGATTGGACAAGGATGGAGTTCAAACCTGCAAAGTCAAGAAGTTAGGTGCTGAGGAAGAGGCATGTCCAGGATCAGTTTCACTTTAAGATCAAATAGGACACTATTCCAATCATTCAAGAAAAGCCAGTGAATAGCTTGAGGAAGTGGTACAGGGCAGACCTCAATGACAGGCAGAGTGTGATGGAAATGTTTGAGGAAGTTGAAACTTGGATGACATTCCTGAAGAAGAGTGGTTTACCCGGCAAGCATAAAGCTTGGGGATACCAGCAAGGAGTCCTAGCCAGATTGCTCTGGCTACTGCTCATTTATGAGGTACGCATCTCTACTGTGGAAAGGAAGATGAACAACTGTTTAAGGAGATGGTTGGGTGTTCTGTAAAGCTTATGCTCCATAGGCTTGTATAGTACAGGCAGCAAGCTGCAGCTACCAGTAACATCAGTGGTGGAGGAGTATAAGTTAACAAAATCACAGCAGGCGAAGGATGCTGCGAGACAGTAAAGATTAACTTTTTAATTTACCTTTATTCTACACCGCTCTGTCTCTTCTCCTTTGAGCGCTCCAAAGACTTCCTGTTTTCATGAAGCCCCTCCTTCAGAAATACACGATGGGCTCTGATTGGTTAGCTGGTCCAGTGTGTTGTGATTGGCTAAACCGCCTCTAGTGCGCGTCTAAACGTCCCGCTACACCGCTCTGTCTCTTCTCCTTTGAGCGCTCCAAAGACTTCCTGTTTTCATGAAGCCCCTCCTTCAGAAATACACGATGGGCTCTGATTGGTTAGCTGGTCCAGTGTGTTGTGATTGGCTAAACTGCCTCTAGTGCGCATCTAAACGTCACGCCCCTCACCTCAGTGCATGTGCTCCGGTTGTATTGTAAACAATGCTTATCAATTTGAGCCCGAATGAGACGCAGATGATATTAGTGAAGAGGATCGTGCAGAACCTGTGCAAGCACGGCTCTTAATGTTATGTTTTTTGTTTGTTGTTGTCTCATACTTTTAAATACGCTGTTATTTGTAAATGATACTGCTTATGTTAGCTTTTAATATACAGTTTTATCCTGATTAAAGCTTTAATACAGCACAGCAACCACATGCGCATCCATGTTAAATGCTTCTCATGGCTATGTGAAAAATATATGTCTGTCTATACACATAAAGTGTATAATTGGAGCACAGTTCATTGATGGAGCTGACGAGCTGATGAGAGAGAGAGAGAGATGCAGAGTGTGTGCAGAGCAGGGGGACACGATGGACAGGATTAAGAACCGCTGCTTTAGAACATTGATTAGGAAACTTGTGAATCCATTAGAGTCGTTAGAAGACAGAATCGATAGATTTTTTTCGTACATTCCTAGTTGTACCGACATGGCAGCAACTCTTCCTCTTCTCTACAGCAGCGCAACACCCAGAAATGTACATAAACCCCGCCCCCGGGAACATGCAACAAAGGGGGCGGGGTTTATATACATTTCTGGGTTTGTGATGTCACAAACCCGGGAAGTAACTCCTTGTAGTTCCTACGAGCCGTTTTTGTAGGTATTAAACTGCCATGATTTTAAAAGACGATATCTTCGTTTGCATTGAACTTTCAGCATCATAACTTTGCAGATATTGTTTATGCTCAAACAGCAACATTACACACTAACTAAATTTTAAAAAGTGAAATCACAATCAACCATCCCTTTAAGTCTGCAGCCATGACTAAACAGGCCAGATGGGAAGAATGTGCGATAGAAGATTCTGACCTGGCTGGACATCTGGAGCATGGAAGACTGCTGGATTCAGTTTTTGTTGTTTTCTGTATACGACACCCTACCTAATTTATCAAATCTCCATACATGGCGCTTGGTAGAGAGCTGCCGGGGTGAAGCAGGCATAAAAGAAACCAAGACAACTTCGTAAGGGGCCTTGTTTCATTCAGTTCCTTAGGTTTGGGGAAAGCACAGCAACAGAAATGAGGAGTAAAGGAGTACTGTCCAAGGCAAACGACTGGGAGATGCGGGCAGACCTTAAGAAGCAGCTCAGATTCCCAGAGGAAATAACCCATACGAGTCTCAGACTTCATATTGTGCCCTGGTCGAAGGTTACCATGCAGGTGGTACTTATCGAGTTGACAGTACCTTGGAAAGAGAGGACAGAAGAAGCACATGAGTGTAAGCTTAAGAAATATTAGCAAGGATGGAAGGCTTGGCATCTGCTGGTGTAGGTTGGCTGCAGGGGTTTCGCAGGGCAGTTGCTTTGGAGGACCCTTGGATTTCTTGTGATTGATGACCAGGCTAAGGAAGCGGCTGATCAAGTCAAGTCACCTTTATTTATATAGCGCTTTTAACAATACAGATTGTGTCAAAGCAGCTTTACAGTATTAAATAGGAAAATAGTGTCAATAATTCAAAAGGACAATAGTAAACACTCAATTTTCAGTTAAAGGCAGTAATGGCTCAGTTCAGTTTAAATAGTCCTATCTAACTGGATAAAAAAAAAAACACTCTGAAGTTCAGCAGATAGCAATTAATATAAATGTAAACAATAATACATGTTCATTTAGTTGCAAATTACATTTTCAGAATCATTACATTCAGTCCGGACTTAAAGGGTTAGTTCACCCCAAAATGACAATTCTGTCATTAATTACTCACCCTCATGTCGTTCCAAACCTGTAAGACCTCCGTTCATCTTCGGAACACAAATTAAGATATTTTTTATGCATTCTGACAGCTCTCTGACCCTTCATAGACAGCAAGGGTACTACCGAATTGTTGAATAAAGTGTTGTTTTTTTTTTTTTTGCTCACAAAAACTATTATCATGTGATTTCACATGGATTATTTTACCGATCTCCTTGCTACGTTTCTGGATGTTGATCGTGGTAGTACCTATGCGAATACTTTTTGTGCGCAAAAGAAAAAAAAAAAAATTTTATTCAACAATTTGTCTCCTCCACGTCACCCTAGCGCCATTTTGGAGAATATCCACTGAACGCAAACAACGTATGTTGTTCTGTGTCAGCCGCACCACACGGATACGTTGTTTTCGTAGTACCCTTGCTGTCTATGAAGGGTCAGAGAGCTGTCAGATTCCATCAGAAATATCTTAATTTGTGTTCCGAAGATGAACGGAGGTCTTACGGGTTTGGAACGACATGAGGGTGAGTAATTAATGACAGAATTTTCATTTTTGGGTGAACTATCCCTTTAAGTATATATTATTCCCATAATAAGTACTCTTTTTAAAAGTATGCTTGAGTGTACTTCAATTTCAAAAGTGACATATACTAACAAGTTTCACATGGTGCTTAAAATAAAAATTACTAAGTCTACGTTAAGTCTATTGTTAAAAAATCTGCATAAATTAGAGTAAAAACATTATATTAATTGATCAGCTTTGCAAATCTCTTGTTGAAACAGTTTTTCAACTACAATTAATAAATTTATTTTCAACAAATCAATAAATATGAGAGAGAGAGCCTATATTCGGCTGCCTATATTCCAGGCAGCCGAAAACACGCCTTGAGACATGAAACATGAGCTCAGCTCTGTCGCTCTCTGGGTCAGACGTGAGTTCGATTAACCAGTGTGTTTAAGCGAGGGCACTGCTCAGTTCAGCCCAAACACAGACACACAGCTGCTCTCATCTAGTGTTTCGGTGTCTCTCGGGCCCCTGCCGTATCCCCTGGTAACCCCGCGGGATGCCTGTGTGAAGAGCGGAGGGACAGCGCGTCTTTGGGACACTGCCAAACCAAAGCGGACGCTCTAATTGAGACAATCAGGAGCCAGTAGGAACAAAGTGTGGCCCTCATCGTAAATAAAAGAACCTGTTCAATCTTGCCTAATGATGATTAGGACATTGTTTTACCAATTACCACGGCAACAGCCCTTTAGTTCAGCACAATAATAAAGTGGGATCTGAGCAGGTGTGACGATACTCACTTTCTTTGCCTAAGAGAGTTCATAAAATTTTAGGACTGTCGTAAAAAAAGTCCCTGTGCTGGTTTTCTTTCTTTCTTTTCATTCCTCTCTGCTTTAACTAGTCTTGAGTTCTGCGGGAGTATATGAAGTGTCATTCAGATGGTCTCCGGAGGCTTTGTTTGCGTTCTGGGTCGGAGCCATTGACTTAAATATGCATCTGCGGAGGTGGATAATAATTCAGAGGTTAATAATTCATTGCCAACAACAAAGTGATTCTTTCCAGACGACAACGCAGACGGTGTGTCTAAACATGACACCTCGCTCAGGTAGTCTTTCTTGAACGTTAAAGCAGGTGCGATATGCTGAACTAGCACACTGATGCTCCAGGATTCCTTTAAACATATAACTTGCGTGCTGAAAAACATGCTCTGAAATCACTGGCTTCGTTTGCCAGTGTCTAAACCTCCTGTGGTCGACTGTCAGCCTTCAGTGCTCTGGTTCAGAGCCCTGAGGGACGTGTGGATGAACATACAATATATACCCGACTGACTCCATTAACCTCCAAACTAGTGCAGTGATTGACTGCTACACTCAGTGTTTGTGATGTTCTTAGTTAATGTGATTAACAGTGTGTTATATAGCAGTTGAGCTTGCATTAGTTATAATGCATACACACATACACACATTTTAGATATAAAGAAGTATTTGTTCTTACCACTCCATTGGGCTGAAGCGGTTTTTTCTTCCTGGTTCCTATCTGTAAATAACTAGAAAGTGAGCTGAATTACTTTTTTTTTTTTCCTTTTACAATGCAAAATTTGTGAAGATCTTTGTGAAGTGGCCATAAAACAGTGGCAGTGCTAGTCAAACGTTTCACTAAAAATAGTTAAAATTTGTGTTTGATCTAAAAGTTCATGCTTAAAGCAAGAGTTCAACATAAAAATGAAAATGTCTTTAAAAAGTCCTCATTCTCAGGCCATCCAAGATGTAGATGAGTTTGTTTCTTCATCAGGTTTGTAGAAATGCAGCATTGCATCAGTGTCTCTGCAATGAATGCTCTGCAGTGAATGGGTGACGTCAGAATGAGAGTCCAAACAGCTGATAAAAACATCACAATAATCCACAAGTAATCCACAGCACTCCAGTCCATCAGTTAACATCTGGAGAAGACAAAAGCTGAAACAAATCCATCATTAAGATGTTTTTAACTAAAATACAAGTCCATAATCCATTGTAGCGCTTCCTCCAGTTGCATTATCTTATATTAATAATCACTTGAAGGAGATTTAGAGTATGAGGATGAGAATATTTAATGCAATTTTTTTCCAGTGAGCAAATATATTCCTTGGATAACCCAATGAATCAAGCAAACTTTTCCAATAAGGTAAGTGAGAGTGCCTTTCCTTGGTCACATTTGTAAACATGGAGAAAATATACAGGGTCAATAATTGCTCAGTTGGTTAATAAGAACCAACAGAATGTTGCCAAGAATGGTAGCACTTTAGTTTAGGCACCAATTCTCACTATTAACTAGTTGCTTATTAGCATGCATATTACTAGCATACTGGCTGTTTATTAGTACTTATGAAGCACATATTAATGTCTTATTCTGCAAGATCATATTTTAGATCCCTTAATCAGGCCCCATACAGAACCTAAACGTAACAACTACCTTACTAATTATTAATAAGCATCATAGTCATAGTTAATAAAACAGCTGATAAAAACATCACAATAATCCACAAGTAATCCACAGCACTCCAGTCCATCAGTTAACATCTGGAGAAGACAAAAGCTGAGACAAATCCAGCATTAAGACATTAAAAGACAGCATTAAAATACGAGTCTATAATCCATAATAACGCTTCCTCCAGTGAAAAAGTACATCTCATGTTGTCTCTCACATCAAAATCCAGCCACATATTAGTTTAGAGCTGTTTAAACACTGCTTGATCTGTGCAGATTTCTCTCCTGATTCAGACCAGAACACTTTTTCACTGGAGGAAGAGTTATTATGGATTATGGACTTGTATTTTAGCCAGAAGCAACCGTTTGAAGTTTTAAAGTCTTAATGATTGATTCGATTGACACAAACACAATATATTAATTGATTTTGTGGATTATTGTGATGTTTTTATCAGCTGTTTGGACTCTCATTCTGACGGCACCCATTCACTGCAGAGCATCCATTGCTGAGACACTGATGCAATGCTACATTTCTCCAAATCTGATGAAGAAACAAACTCATCCTAATCTCAGATGGCCTGTGGATGAAGACATTTTTAGCAAATTTTCATATTTGGGTGAACTATTTTAAGTTTGGAAAATTAGTTATCTACATGTGTATGTACACGTGCACATGAATTTCTTTACAAAACTAACATTTACAAACATTTATTGAAGTTGAATCAGATAGTGAAGGAAAAGCATCATCATGTGTCCACCATACATGCACTCTAAGAAAACATTCTGTAAAATACATTAGTACATTGTCCATAAAATGAAAGTCTGTAACACCTTGTTAATTTGAAAGACTTTTCTGTATTGATATTTCAGTGGTGTTTTCCCCATATTTTTAATTATGCCCTGTATTGCGTTGTTTCTTAAGGTAAAGGAATTGTCTGTAAACTAAATGGAAAAGGTGGTAATTTTCTGCCAGGACATTATCTTTCTTTCTACAGATATTTTTTTCTTAAGCTGAAGCTGTTTTCCATAGTAAAAAAAAAACATATCAGGATGCACCTCATCAGTGTTGGGGATAACGCGAGTTACGAAATCAGACGTAATCAGAACTAGTAAAGTAACGCTTTACTTTTGAATTTAGAAGGACATATCTGAGTTACCTTTTCAAATAAGTAAATTCAGTTACTTTGTTTCCCATGTCTTGACTGACAGCTCTGGTGTTGCCATGTTGAGAGTATTCGGGAGTAAGTGCAGAGCGTTGTGTGTGAACATGATCTTACTGTAGTTCTAGACTAAATATCAACGTGTTTACTCATCTCACTGCACACAAACACATTCAGTGTTCAAAATGAATAAAAACCTTCAAATGCAAAATCAAAATGTTATACAAACCTGCAATAATTAGATGTTAAATAAGACAAATATAATTATGTATTTAATCTCATTTTATTAACCAATGCCTTTGCTACTGACCTTCAACCATACTAAAAAGCAAAAATGACACATTTGTGTTTCATTTTTGTTATTGCTGAATAGTGTATTCTGCGTCATATTCTTCATGTGATTAGTTTGAGCGGCGCCCTCTACTGTACAGACATGAATTTAAATTTCCTTCAGCCTAAGCGTATTCATTTCACTTTTGTGGTGAAAGGGCTTTTACATTTTTAAAACAAGAACTTTTTATATTAAAAACAAACATGCAAGCCCTGCACAGATTTAAAAAGTAACGCAAAATTAACATAACGCATTACTTTCCATAAAAGTAACAAAGTAACATAATTCGTTTCTTTTTTAAGGGAGTAACGTACGGTGGCCGAGAAGTGCAGAGCAAATCACAATTCTGAAAACAAAATAACGCAATATTGTAATGCATTAGGCCTACTTTTAAAAGTAACTTTCCCCAACACTGCACCTCTTGATGTTGTTTGATTAAAGTCAGAGCTGACTCTGAAGAGTATTAATTTGTGCCACATGTTTTGATCACTAGATGATTCCCAAATTTCCATTTGTGCTATTTCACAGGTTTTGTGACTTTGCTATCATTATAAAATATGGAAAACAAATATGTGTCATGTAAACGTTTGCTAGGTAGATAGAACGATAGAACGATAGATAGATAGAACGATAGATAGATAGATAGATAGATAGGTAGGTAGAGAGATAGATAGATAGATAAATAGATAGATAGATAGATAGAACGATAGATAGATAGATAGATGATGGGTGGATGGAGGTGTCTTACTCTATCTTCTTGAATCTCTCTCGTCCAGCAGCCACGTACTGCTCTCCGCTCCGCAGGTGCTCCAGGGACTGGACCCGGTGTCCGGCTTTGGGCGTGTAGATGCTCCGCACCGCGCCGAACGGAGCCCTCACGCCGCCAGTCACCTCCCGCAGAAGCGTGTCGAAGGTCGAAACCCGCTTCGAGTTAATCACCAAACGCCTGGGCTCGTAATACGGATCCCCATTGCGATAGAAATAGATATTTTTCACTTCAGGTTGAGACAGAAAGTGTGGCTTCTCCGCACTCATGGCCAGGAGAGGTGAAGCTAGCGATGGAGAGTCAGAGCGCAGCGGTTATATCTCCAGAGCAGAGCAGCGCATCTGAGCCGCATGGCCCAAACGACACAGACACACGTTTGATGAACACACCAACACGATTTTAAGCCAAACAAAAGTGGAAACGGTGGATTTTGCGCAAATAAAACTTTCCAGCGGGACGTTCATATCATGATGAAAAAGAGAAAGATGCAGCGCACTGAAAGCGATGATCATGGGAACTCGTGTGTTCCTCGAGCGGTTTCTATAGAGACATTACAATCTTAAAGCCCGCTGATCCCACTCTACACCAACTCCAGAGACTCCGTGTATGGCAAGCTGCTTTAACATTTAGCCTTTACCCAGCTAACAATTTTTGGTTCTCAGAACGTTCCCAGAACAGCTTTTTTTTTTTCGTATAACGTTATTATAACGGTATATTAACGTTGCCTTAACGTTATTATAGCATTTCCCCAACCTCTTTACTCTGATATGATCACCCCGTTATATGTCAGTAATCATCCAGCACACTCGTGACCCAGTATAAGCGGCATGGATGCCTAACCTGTATTATAAAAAATTAAAAATAAAAACTTTTCTTGTTGTTATCTATTGTTTAATTAATTAAAATAATCTGAGCTCTGTACATCAACTATCATATGTAGGATTAAATAAGATTAAATCTGTCCATTACCGGGTACCCTTTAGGCTACATTTCTTCAGCACCAAATAAAAATGACTTCAACACAATGTATGGTTTATAAAATATGACATTTATTCATATATATTAATAAAAAAAGAAAATAATAAAAAATTACTTGACTTAAGGCAGGTTATCAGTACATTCATTTCTTACCACTGTGTACAGTTTGTACAGCGGGACAATCTTCTTTTGATCCTTAAACAAAAACTTCTCGCTAACATCACATTCTCTTCATTTAGGCAGTAATCTCAGTAATCATTCAATAAATAGATCAATAAACGAGCGAGTCAGTCAGCCAGTAAAACAAAATGACTGCTAATTTTTAAGTTCTGTGAGCGCGCAGCGCTCAGTAAATAGGCTAGGCTATAGATGAAACAAACCCATGAAGTTATGATTTATGTTATCACTCTATGCTTAACCCTGACTTAATATTATAATGTAAAACGTGTTTTGATTGATCTAATTTCTGTATTTTAATAAAGGCTGCATTAAACAAATTTCAGGGCTCTGTCATTACACAAAAACATCTGCAACGTTTTCATTGGTAATATAGTTTTACAGGGTTATAAAAATAACCTGAGAATAACCATTAGGGAACGTTCTCTGTAAGTTATTTTTAGGTTATTTAATAATAACCTCCATGCAACGTTCTGGGAACGTTATTTTATGGTTACAAAAACAAAAACAAAAATAATAAAAAGAACGTTCCCTAATGGTAGTATTTGGTTCCCAAAAAAATAACCAAACGGGAACCAAAAACTAACGTTAAGGGAACGTTCTGTGTTTGCTGGTTAGCTTGCCTTAATACAATCTTCATATTTGTGTTCCTAGTATTTCAAAAGTTAGGATTTTACCAAGCTTGATAATAACTTTATTTGACAGTAGAACTTATTCCTGTGAAAGTCCATTTCCGCAACTGAATTAGAAAAAAAAAAAAAAAAATAATACTAAATAATAATACTAATAATAATAGTGATATATAAACTCAGTGTTGTGAATTCTTCCCCTTTAAGTTTAAAACTTGCGATCTGTGTGATGTTTCAGTAATGACTTGCGTTAAATAACGTAGTGCAGTGTTCACAGCGTGTACGGTCTTAGCGTAACTGCCTATTCACTAAGTTACTTCAGCGCGGCAGTCACATCGCGTGCTCTCACCAAGCGACAACCTCCCGCTCTCTCTCGTGAAACCAACACGGAAGTGACTAAAACTGTAATTCATCGACTGGCCGCTAGAGGCTGGCTGCAAAAGGGAGTCAGTCCCATAGACTCCCCATGTTGGTGACGTCACGGACACTACGTCCATGTTTTTATACAGTCTATGGCTCTCACTCAGGTGCAGCTTTTATGTGCAAGAGAAAGTGCATGACAAAGTAAGTTACTTCGATGTATATCGTTAATTAGATTGTTACAGTGTACCACAATTGCGTTAACTTTGACAGTGTTTATGATGTATATTTCTCAGTTTATATTCCATGTATCAGTGCATTTTACAAAATTGTTTATTATAGAGTTTGTGATATATTGAGTCATTGGTTATATTTAGAAAATTTATATTTATCTCTGTTATTTTATTTATTTCAGAAACTACCTCAAATACACTAACGTGTATATGGTCAAATCTTGTGCAATAAACAGTCAAACTCAATATGATGACTTCGACTCCCTGACCAGACTTCTGCAGCGGTCAATAACTATTAACCAGCATTCAGTGGGGCAATCCCCAATACTCAGAATTTATTTTTTTTGTTTTTTGCACTTCCAAGTTTACATCTCACAATTCTGCATTTTGTGTTTTTGTTTGTTTTTGCCACAGAATGAAAGTTTATAAATTAAATTAAATTGAATTAAAGAATACAAATTCTGACTTTTCTTCTTAGCATTGCAAGTTTATATCTAGCTAAAAACTCCCAATTCCGAGTTAATATCTTACTATTATGATTTTATATCTCACAGTTATATGAGTTTGTCTATAGTTTATATCTTGAAATTATGTCAGAACTGTGAGAACTTAGAATTGCGAGGAGGAAAAAAGTCAGAATTTTTAGATAAAAAGTCTCAGTTACATTTAGTTGTTTATATATTTATTTTTATTCTGTGGCAGAAATGGGCTGCTATATAAATCAGCTCATGGAAGAGATGAGTTTTCATGTCTTTACTAGTACTTATTTATTAGATACTGTACTAGTAATTAGACACTAGTATTTATTCCAATTGCTGCTAGTAACATTTCACTAGATATAAATGCATTTTACTCGTCATATCAGCATAGGTGTTTTAAAGTTCAGTTTTACTAGTAACTAGTAGTAAAGCACCAGTGTTGTAGTACTTGAGTCCAGACAAGTCTGCACTCACAGTCCAGTGCATGTCAAATCAAGGCCACTGAGTTCAAGACCATGTTATATTATATTATATTATATTATCATTCAAGACGACTTGAGACGAAGTTGAGTGCCAGTCTGGTTTTGTCTGGACTTGAGTACTACAACACTGATGTGTACTAATGTCTATTAAGTAAAAAAAAAAAAAAAGCTTGTAATCTCCCAGTCTGACCAGATCAAAAGTGGTCAGACCCAAACTCTTTAAAACCAGCTAACAGACTAACTCAGCCAGACTGGAGGACCACCTAAGACTAGCAAACCGGTCTGTTAAATGCTGGTTTATACATTTATTTTGTTAGAAGAATAAGTACTTACAGTGTAATTACTGGTCAAATATACTACTCACTTTTGGATGACTTACTGGTACTAGTACTCAAGCTTAGAAATTACTAGACTTGCCATGCTGAGTATTTTCCAGTAAATGTGATTTTACAGTATTCACCATCAGAAATGACCTTTTTAGTGCTTTCCATCCAGATGTTCATGTATGTCCCCTGTTAAATGAGGATGTATACATCACCCAATAGAGTAAACCTGAGTCTTCATTCAATCTAATTGGACACCAAGGAGTTCATGTGCAAGTACAGCCCCTCTGTTGTTCTAACCTAGTTATATCTTGGAACAAAAAACATGTTTGTTTGGTGTGTCGCATAACAACTCTCTATTAAATGCCTTGACCATTTGCAAGATTAGTGGCAAGGGAAAGCAGCCTTGAAAATTTGGTTAATTAGTGCATCTCTGCACACAGCATTTTCACATGTAGAAGAGGTGATATATATCAAACATACATTTATGCCATTAAGCAGATGCCCTCATCTTGAACGACTTACAAAACGTGTTTGACTCATTTTGGTGTTCCACCTCCAATTATTAAGAAGTCAGAAGTCAGAAAGAGCTTTATTACCAAGTATGTTTACACATACAAGGAATTTGACTTGGCGACAGGAGCTTCCAGTGCAGAAGAAAGCATGGACATAGTGTAAACATACATGACAGTGCAGACATACATAGGAATTACACAGTAGAGATGTGAAATAGCTGTTTGCTATCAGCTATTTCTACCTAATTTAACCCATAAACATGAGCGTTTTGGTATGAATGGTTGTATATAGGTTCAGTGATGTTGAATAATATTTCTGACTCGAAAAAACCAAACCAAAACCAGTTGATTTAGATATTACTATTTTAGGTTAGCATTTTTTTCAGTGAAGGAATAAAGGCTACACAAGTTTGAAACAACATGAGGGTGCGTAAAGATGACAGAATTAAAATGTTTTCATCTCCAACGCAAACATTTACAGCGCGCTAATCCAGAGGCCGCGGCGAATACCAGAAGCGATAAAACTACAGCCGCACACACTTCCTCGTCCAACAACAGTGGCCGCAAAAAAAATCAGCTCCACAGTTCCTTTAGCACTCATGAATCCACCTCCTTGACAATTTCCTTGTCATTTCACCAAATCATTCTCCTGCAGCTAAACACGTAACTGTTATCCAATCCGTGTTTTCAAAACTAGGAGTTCCCCTCTCTCCCGGAAAAACCAAGGGCCCTTCTACATACCTTAATTAAATGGCGCAACAGGCAGCTCTCTTTTAACACAGACTTTTAAGAAGGGATGGATGTTTGCTTCAAGTGATAGGCCAGGTAAGTGAAATTATATTATCTTGCTGTATGTGTGTCGTTTTCTTTTCGTTTTCTGACTAAAAGCAACCAAAAAGCCATTTTAAAGTGGTTAAGCAAATTATAATAATAATAATCGGCAGGGATCCCCAGACCAATACAATTAGTGTGCCTCCTCTATTTTAAAACCCACGAGCCGCCACTAACTTTTTTCTATGATGATTTTTAGTCCCGACTTTG